AACAGAACTGCTGCATACAGGCAGGCAGGCAAAATGCTGACAATGACCAGTGGATCAGGAGTAAATCAATCAATCAATCAATCAGTCAGTCAGTCATTGGCTTGTTTGTTCTTCTTTGAGGAACACAAAAGAAAGCAAGCAAAAGAAAAGCAGGAAATTGAAGATGTGCACCTGTATAGCACCTTACACAAGTATCATCTCTCTCATAAGTGCTTGACAGCAAACAAGTACTTGAAAAGCAGTCACTGTTTAACAGAGGAAATGTGGCAGCTAATCTACATGCAACAGGTCCCCAGCAGCAGCAATGAAATCATAAGCAATTTTTTTATTGGATGTTAAAAAAACCAAAAGTACTGCAGATGCTGGAAATCAGAAATAAAAATAGAAATTGCTGGGGAAACTGAGCAGGTCTGGCAGCATCTGTGGACAGAGAAGCAGAGTAAATGTTTTCGGTCCAGTGACCCTTCTTTAAAACATTCTGCTATTAATATCCAGTAAACCCTGTACGGCATTTCACGCATGAGCAGCTGGAATAAAGAGGCTGTGATGCCCACCACAGTACAGCTGCTATTACTCACCAACTCAGTTGGTGTTTTGACGTGCCAGAAGCCACCTGCAAAACTAAATACTAGGAAGTATGAAACAATAAATTAAGTAAGTTGTCCCATATGTGCTTCAGTTGAACCCAATCGAAAAGGCAGTTAAGGTTCAGAGGTAAATCTGCATCCGTACCATCAGCATATGAATTGAAGGTAAAGCCAGAAAAGTTGCAGAGAACAGAGATGAGAAAGGAAGAACAAAAATTATCAACATATTCATATACTTGTATATGATTGAGTTTATAGACCAGTTATTCACACAGCATGACCATATATTGTCTATACTATTAAAAATGAAGTTTTATTATTTGGCTTTGGTGGCCGATCATTAACTTTGAAGCCCCCTTAAGTTATTATTAAGCACAAGTTTAAAAAAACTTTCTAATGGATCCTACCTATTTCAAACAAGCTATTATAAAAAATAGACAAATATACACATTTGCATTACATGAGATATCACAAAATACTTCACAATTTATGCACATTTGAAGAACATGAACTAAAACTTTAATTTCCATGATACATTCTAAACTCTAAATTTCCTGCTAGTGAACAGAAGATGATTTCTCGACAAACCTGTACTAATGTTGCCGCAAGCTGGCACATCATGATTACAGACTCAAAAAGCATGAGGGGGAGGGGTTCAGTGTCCACATTGCAACTGCAGAATGTGCAAGAACTCCTTTACACATAACCACTTCATTTCAGGCTTTCATCTCTGGCAACTGACTTCAACCACATTTATCTATACATTAAAACACGAATGAACACCTCCAAAATTGCAATCTATTCTCGAGTCCAGGTTAGGATTTTAATTTTACCTAGTTTTAACCTAGATTTATTGTGAATCTAGACGCCCAATCCTTCAACTGCATCACAACCTGCAATCACTGTTAGGTATTCCCTGTACAGACCATCTGAACCTTTGATTTAATAGCTTCTAATTAATCCCAGCTATCAAATTAATCTTCTTGATTCCACAGTTTAAAATCGTAGGTCTCTTGTGGTATAGTGGCACGGTCCTTACCTCTGAATCAGAAGGTCTGGGGGCAAGATCTGCCGGCTCTAGAAATGTCTGAACAAGTTAGTTAATTAAAAAAAATATCTATCCTGTAATCATTCCCAGGCATCACCCATTTCCTGTATAATCCATCTGAGCCCCTTGATTCTACATGGGTTTGGAGTGAGGAAAGATTCCAGTTCTCTGATTAAAAAACACAAAGCATGTAGTCAAGGAGAACAGCAGAAATCAGAAGGTAATGCATTGACAAAAAAGTTGCTTTCACAGGACATGATCAAACTTGCAGTTTTGAAAAGTTATTGAGGTATGCAAAAGGGAAATCTTGAAAACAGCATGAACTCTACAGATCAAAAATTAAAGTCTGCCCTGCTTAAACTGGAGAAACAATGCAAGGACCAAAACTGAAAGTAAACACTTGGTTAATGGATGGATGGAAGGAAATAAAGGAATCCATTATCAACTTTGCATTCCTGTTTATCTTATAGTAATAATTACACAGCACAATAAAATAATGAAATGGAGTACATCTGTAACAAGGTTCAACATCTATGAGCTGGACTCAGTTTGATGCTTAAGGGACAGAGGGACAGAAGCAGCAGGAGACAGCTAGAGGCAGGCAGAGAGAGAATGAAAAAGAGCAATAAAGAGAAACAGTGTGGCAAAGAGAAGGATGCAGGGAGGTATCAGGTAAGAAGAAACCCTGAAAACGAGAAATTAAAACAAAAAAAATGCAAAACATGTTGAAAAGGAATAACAAGTCAGTCAGCATCAAAGACAGGATGCTTGACAACATCTCGCTTTAGACTTCGTGAAGGGATAGTGATTCAATTTTGCCTTCAAACACCGATGGATTGGACAGTACGTGTGTTTTTGTTTTACATCAGTCATGGACGAAGGCAGCAATTATTCTTCTCAGAGCACAGAAGAGGAGGGAGGATTTCATTGGGAGGAGGTGAGGAGGAGTAAATAAGTAGAACAAGTTTCCACTAACGCAAAAGCACAAGGGAAGCTCACCATCACCTCAAGGGAAATTAAGAATGGACAAATGCTGGCTCAGCTAGTGAGGCCCACATCCAGCAAATATAACATTAAAAACAGTTGCATTTATTTATCCAGAGATTATAGGAACCGCGAACGCTGGAGATTCTGAGATAACGAGGTGTGGAGCTGGATGAACACAGCAGGCCAAGCAGCGTCAGAGGAGCAGGAAAGCTGACGTTTCGGATCTGGACCCTTCTTCAGAAATGGGGGAGGGGAAGGGGATTCTGAAATAAAAAGAGAGAGAGGGAGAGGTGGATGGAAGATGGATAAAGGACCAGATAGGTGGAGAGGAGACGGACAGGTCAAGAAGGCAGGGATGGAGCCTGTAAAGGTGAGTGTAGGTGGGGAGGTAGGGTGGGGATAGGTCAGCCCAGGGAGGACAGACAGGTCAGGGAGGCCGGATGAGGCTGATAGGTAGGAGGTGGGAGTGGGGGTTGAGGTGGGAGGAGTGGAAAGGTGGGAGAAAGGACAGACAGGTTAGGGAGGCAGGGACGAGCTGGGCTGGTTTTGGGATGTGGTTGGGGGTGGGGAGATTTTGAAGCTTGTGAAGTCCACATTGATACCATTGGGCTGCAGGGTTCCTGAGCGAAATATGGAGGTGCTGTTCCTGCAACCTTCGGGTGGCACTGGAAGCGGCCCAGGATGGACATGTTGTCCAAAGAGTGGGAGGGGGAGTTGAAGTGGTTCGTGACTGGGAGGTGCAGTCATTTGTCACGAACTGAGTACAAGTGTTCCACAAAGCGGTCTCCAAGCCTCCGCTTGGTTTCCCCAATATAGAGGAGGCCACAATCGGGAACAGTGGATACAGCATACCACATTAGCAGATGTGAAAGTGAGCATCTGCTTGATGTGGAAGGTTTTCTTGGGGCCTGGGATGGGGGTGAGGGGGGAGGTGTAGCACTTCCTGCGGTTGCAGGGAAAAGTGGTGGGGAGTGTGGAGTGGACAAGAGAGTCACAGAGAGAGTGGTCCCTCCGGAAGGCAGATAAAGGGTGGGGAGGGAAAAATGTCTTTGGTAGTGGGATCAGATTGCAGGTGGCGGAAATGGCGGAGGATGACGCGTTGGATCCAGAGGTTGGTGGGGTAGTACGTGAGGACGAGGGGGATTCTGTTTTTGTTGTTATTGCGGGGAGGGGGTATGAGGGATGAGTTGCGGGAAACACGAGAGATGTGGTCGAGGGCGCTTTCGACTACTGTGGAGGGGAAGTTGCGGTCCTTGAAAAACGAGGACATCTAGGACGTCCGGGAGTGGACTGCCTCGTCTCGGGAGCAGATGTGGCAGAGGCGAAGGAATTGGAAATAGGGGATGGCATTTTTGCAGGAAGGTGGGTGAGAGGTGGTGCAGGAAGGAAGGTAGCTGTGCGAGTCGGCAGTCGCGAACCACTTCAACTCCCCCTCCCACTCCTTGGACAACATGCCACAACGATGCCACCCGAAGGTTGCAGGAACAGCACCTCATATTTCGCTCGGGAACCCTGCAGCCCAACGGTATCAATGTGGACTTCACAAGCTTCAAAATCTCCCCGCCCCCGACCACATCCCAAAACCAGCCCAGCTCGTCCCCGCCTCCCTAACCTGTCTGTCCTTTCTCCCACCTTTCCACTCCAACCACCCCCACCTCCTTGACCTGTCAAGTCCTCCCTTGACTGACCAACCCCCACCATAAATCCCCACCTACACTCACCTTTACTGGCTCCATCCCTGCCTCCTTGACCTGTCCGTCTCCTCTCCACCTATCTGGTCCTTTAGCCATCTTCCATCCGTCTCTCCCTCTCTCTCTATTTATTTATACACCAGTTGAAGAATTCCCACCTTCAATCACTGGTTTATACGAAATTCGCTGTAGCTAACAGCTCTGGGTGTTTCTTCAAATGACATTCATGCTGCTTAGGCAAGGATGGACAAGAAAACCTGCTGGGGCAGTGCCCGATTGCTATTCAGACATGCATTCCTAGCAATGCAGCACTGCCTCAGTGCTGCGAAAGAACATCAGCCTAAATGTTTAATCCTAAATCTCTAGAGTGGAACTTGAAATTTTCATGAGGCAGAGTGCTCAAATGAGCTAATTTTAAAGTAATATAAAATCAGCAAGAATAAAGCGCTTTGGATAATGCCAATAGCATGAAACAGGAACAAAATCCTGGTCCTATTTCTGCACAAACTCTCAATGTTCCTGTTCAGCTTTGCCGTGATACTGGTTTCTTTTGACCTTTTTTCCCTCTTGCTGTCATTATCATTGAATGCCTACAGTGTGGAAATAGGCCCTTCGGCCCAACAAGTCCATACCGACCCATCCCCCTATAACCAGCTAATCTACACATTCTTGAACACTAAGGGCAATTTAGCATGGCCAATCCACCTAACCTGCACATCTTTGGACTGTGGGAGGAAACCGGAGCACCCAGAGGAAACCCACGCAGACACGGGGAGAATGTGCACAACTCCACACAGCCTGACGGTGGAATCATACCCAGGTCCCTGGCGCAGTGAGGCAGTAGTGCTAACCACTGAACCACCTTTTCTCCCAATTACTAAATGGTAAGGATGGAGCTTTCGCTCAGGACTCAATAGGTTAATACAATGAATAGGTGAGATAGATAGGTCTCGCAGATGCCAGGCTCAAATTTCAGTCTGGACCAAACAATAATGGGCAAGTTACAATTAAATTCAGTTCCTTGGTCAGAGATGGGGAAAATATCCAAGAATTACTACCCTGTAAGGTGCCTGTGGAAATATGCCTCCATATTGTCCAGTCACTGCCCCTTCCACCCTCGCTCTTGTATCATACCTCCAAATCCTTCTGGAGCTGGAGCAGATACAACTTGATTGAAACACAAGATCCTCACCTGGATAGGGTAATCGTAGAGATGATGTCTCATCTTCTGCTTCAAAATGAGGGTCGCTCATTTAAGGCAGAGATCAGGAGACTTTTTTTGTGAAAAGGTCATGTATATTTGGAATGGCTTTCTTCGAAAAGCTGGTGGAAGTAGCATTCTTGAATTTTTAAGGATGGATGGATTCTTGATAAGCAAGGCAGCCAAAGACCATCAGGGTTGGCTGCAATGAGGAGTAATCATACCAGCCATGCGTTTATTGAATGGTGGAGCAGGCTCAAGCACTTGAGTGGCCTAGTCCTGCTCCTTGTTCACACAATTTTACATACACGCTGCAGGAAGGCTGTGTGGCTCCCACTGTTGATCAGCCTGTTAACTGGATTCCAACACTCGGACAGGAAGAACAACCAAATGGCTGAGCTTCTGGAAGGCAGCAAGTTACCACTGAACTACAGCCAAGCAAGGATATATGCATTTAAAAAAAAAAAAAATGGGTGGGTGAGAGAGCAAACTGAAAAGCATCAATGAGAGAAAGAATACTAGGTAAAGAGACATCCCATTGTGGCATAGATTGATGCAGACTATAAAAGATACTGGGTTTGACTACCTGCATCAAGCTAACTCATCCTAGCTGGGCTAACGGCATCATCTCCAAAATTTGTTACAGTTGAGAATAAGCACAATCCCTGCCACTGACCACCAGCATCGATATCAGCCGGAATCTAACAACCAGGTAGATGAGGCTGGGCCACAATGACTTCCTTCACCACCATAAGATTAAATGGTTGATCTCTGCTCAGTTTTCAAGTTCCCGCACAAAGAATGACACATGGGTGAGATAAAGGACTTAAGGGCAAAGGTATAAACACATTCAGGGAGAGGAGGAAATCTCAGTTTAAACATTACACACTTAAGGCTGTCACATCTGAGCACTGAATACTATACCAATGTTTTACAGAATCTGACACTTCTGTACAGACTGTACTTTCTAAAACACACATTTGCCTTGCTCAGCCACAATATTTCTACTGACATAGTACTGCAGAACTCTCCCGACTGATTAATAAATCCTAAGATTTTTTGGCAGGCTGGAATTAGCAACAAAAGAAACCTAGCGTAAAATGCTTCTGTTGGCAGGATCCAGTCCTGGCCAGTTTAAACCAGTCGGATCCACTCAAGCCAGCTCAAGGTCTGGGGCTCCTGGTTGCAGTTCTCCTTCTCCGACACCAGTCCAAAAAGACGATCACTTACAGGGTTGAAGATTAGCCAGTTCACACGGGCACACTGCAGCTTTAATGCGGGTGTCGGACTCACTCAGTCCACTGGTTCCTGCTTGATGTTTTCTACAGGGATCAGTAGGTTGCTGGGGTCCAGTGGTGTTGATGAATCAACTGTCTCCTCCTTCACCTGTACTGCAATGACTGAGACAGAATTCAAAGGAGAAAAATCCATTTAATTGAGATGCACTGTAATTTCAATGGTCATTAAAATAAAATGGCTAAATAGGACAATCCTAGACCACCTGCGCTTGCGTCCGATTCCTAATATTTGCAGATAAATCACCTGACAGCTTTGCCTCAGAGAATGTAGTTTTGTTTATTGTGATATTCGAAGCTGTAGCAGCTGCTGAGAGATCTGCAAGTTATATGCGTATTAAGAGAGCTGTCCATCACAGATTTGCTGGCCAGACTAACAGCTCTTTTGAAACATCCAATCCTCACATTCTTCCATAGCCTTGTTCCATGCTACCTCTGTAACCCTGCAGCTCCAATTCACAAGAATCTGGAGCAGAAACAGGCCACTTAGCCCCTTCAGCCTGCCCTGCTGTTCAATAAGGTTATTGCTGATGTCAATTTTCAATAAGTGTTTCACCATTTTTCCTCCATCTACAACGTAGTTCTATAGGTCTAGATGGAGGATGAGAAACATTTTACGAACAGAAACAGGGATCAAAAATGAGAGCAAGTTTGCAAATTAGAACATACGATACAAGAAAAGTTCTCTCACACAACAAATGGTTCAGGTCTGGAATGCACTCCCTGGAAATGTGGAGGAGGCAGGTCAAATGAGGCATTCAAGAGGACACAATGATTATTTAGATAGACACATGCAAAAGGATATGCAGAAAAAGCAGGAGAATAGTCCTAAGGCATAATGCTAACTTGGAAAGCCAAAGCAGAGACGATAGGCCAAATAGCACTCTTCTGCACTGTGACACTTCTATGATTCTCCTGTGAACATGCTCAACCTTCACTTATAAGACAACTGCTTCATCTCAGGAATCAGCCTAGTGAACCCTCTCTGAACTGCTTTTAATGCAAACAGATTTGTCCTTAAATAAGGAGACCAAAACTGCATTTTACTCCAATGTCGTTTTCTGTCTGATTTGTACCAATGTAGCAAGACCTCAATAATTCCATAGTTACATGCCCCCTGCAATGCAAGTATACATTCCCCACCCCCTCTTCCTAACTATTTGCTGTACCTGAATGCTGTTGTAACTAAATGTACATTGCCTCCAAGTCTAGCCTCTTGCACACCACTGATTCCTCCAATCTTCTAGGCCCCAAGTTCTGGAAATCCCTCTAAATTTCTCCACTTTCCCTTAAATCTACTTCTCTGATCAAGCATTTGGTCACTGCCTCGATCATTGCTTCTGCAGCTTGGTGTCAATTTTTGCTTGATTACTACTCCCTGTGGGCTGCCTCAGAGTGTCTTCATTCTGGTAGAGGCATTATGCGAATGAACGTTTATTACTTTAGGTTTTTACATTGATTTTAGGAAGGGTGTTAATGTTCTTATATTGCCTTTTTGAGGTATGTTGATCTCTCAAAGCTTTGCTTGGTCAGGGTTCACTGTGGTTGTGTTCCTCTTGATTATTCAGAATATTTGATCAACTGACACATTCATGGCCCCATAGGTACCGATTAATAAAACGTTTGCTGTATCATTTTTAGAGTTTGAATTTTAAAATAATGTCACGTGGAGTTGGTTAATTTTCTAAAGAGCATCCTTGCTAAGATTGACAACATTGGCTGAGTCACACGAGTATCTTTCGTGTACGTGGTGGATGGTGTTCCCATGTGTGATGGTAGTATCCTTGTCGATGATCTGACATGTCTTGCAGAGGTTGCCATGGCAGGGTTGTATAGAGTGTTGTGGTCGATGTTGTCCTCAAGGCTGGGTAGTTTGCCATGAACAATGGTCTGTTTAAGGTTTGGCAATTGTTTGAAGGCGAGAAGTGGAGGCATGGGGAAGATCTTGGCGAGGTGCTCATCGTCATCAATAATATGTTGAAGGCTGCGAAGAACATGGCATAGTTTCCCCGCTCCTGGGAAGTACTGGACGACAAAGGGTACACTTTCGGGCACATCCCACGCCTGCCTTCTGAGATCATTACAGTTTTTCGCTGTGGCATGTTGGAACTATCAATTGACGAGTTGAGCATCCTTTTCCTATGAAGGCGTCCTTCAATGCCTTCACGTGTCTGTCTCGTTCCTCCCCATCCAAACAGATCCTATGTACGTGTAGGGCTTGTCTGTAGAAGATGGATGTTTTAATATGTTTAGGGTGGAAGCTAGAGAAACGCAGCATCATGAGGTTATCCGTGAGCTTGCAGTAGAGGGAGGTACAGCGGTGTCTGTCCTTGATGGAGATGCTTGTGTCCAAGAACGAAACTGATTCTAAAGAGTAGTCCACGGTAAGTCTGATGGTGGGATGAAACTTGTTGATATCGCTATGTAATCATTTCAGTGATTCCTCGCCATGAGCCCAAAAGGAAGAAAATGTTGTCGATATATCTGGTGTATAGCATTGGTCGGAGGTTCTGTGCAGCAAAGAAGTCTTGTTCGAATCTTTGCATGGAAACATTGGCATATTGGGTTGCAAATCTGGTTCCTATGGTTGTCCCACGTGTCTGGATGAAGAATGGTTGTCGAAGGTGAAGACATTGTGGTCGAGAATGAAGCAGATGAGTTGTAGAATGGCGTCTGGAAATTGGCAGTTGGTGGTATTAAGTATGGAGGCTGTTGCAGTGATGCCGTCTTCGTGGGGGGTGCTGGTGTAGAATGCCAAAACATCCATTGCAATGAGGAACGTTCCTGGTTTGACTTATCCGTGGGTGCTGAGTTTCTGAAAGAAATCTGTAGTGTTGTGACAGAAGCTGGGGGTTCCTTGTACAATGGGTTTCAAGATCTCCTTGACATAAGCAGAGAGGTTCTTACACAGGGTCCTATTGCCTGATATGATGGGATGTCCAGGTGTGTTGCCTTTGTGTACCTTTGAAAGGCAGTAGAAGTCCCCTATGCAGGATGAGAGCGGGTAAGGTACTCTGAAGGACTGGATCAAAAGTCTTGACCAGTCTGTTCAGTTGACAGGTGTGTTCTTTGGTCGGATTCCAAACAAGGCCTCACATGCATTGTCTGACCTAAAATGTCACCTCTTCTTTACACTGATAAAACCTTTAGTTCTTTCAGGACAGTGACATGAAAGGAATTTGGGGATTTACATACACAAATTAATCAATTAAAACCTTCTAACCAATTAAAGATTTAACAGCATTTTTATTTAATACACCCTCCACAATGATGTGACCCTTTGATCTTTTACTTATAAATTCTGTATCTGATACTACCTCTCTCTCACTAACACCTAGAGGAGGAGTAAGGATCTGAAAGCTTATGTTTTCAAATAAACCTGTTGGACTATAACCTGGTGTTGTGCGATTTCTGACGTTGTCCACCCTAGTCCAACACCAGCACCTCCACATCATGGGGAGAAATGTGAAGTTGAGGCCATAATCAGATCATCAGCTATGAGCTTACCGAATGGTGTAGCAACTAAAAGGACCAAATGGCCTTCTCCTGCTCTTATTTTGTACATACCTGTACACCCCCAAAATGCACGGTGAACACAAGAAAAGGTACATTTGCAGACAGATCTATATGAGTGGTCTAAGCAACAACAAGCTCAATTTTTTTGTGCGGTTTTTAGCACAATACAAGAACAATATACAGGTTTTCCAATAAATTTAATCTCAAAAGCAACAAGTGAACAAGGCTTTTGTTTTACTAATTTCATTTCTCAGCCTGACAGATGCTTCTCATTAGGAGTACCAATAAATTTGTTTTTTATTTAGCGGTGGGAGACACTGACAAGTATAGTATATATTGTACAGCTTGGTTTCTTTGGAGGATATCAAGAACCAACCAGATACCATGAAGTCTGAGGCAGGCTGGAGTAGGTAAGGCATATTCATGCTTTCCCACCCCGACAGGATCGGCAAATTTGTATGCTTGTGGTTGTATTGATTCTAGCAATTCCTCCTTTCTCATGCAAGTCCTTTAATGCACAACATCCTCTTTTCAACTGCTTACTGATCACAAGTGTCTGCTCCATTGTTACTCTTTCAGTCCTTTGTATAGGAACATTTGCTGCAATTCCATGTTAGATAGCTCCTTATCACAAGATTGCTCGGCAAATTAGCGCATTAAGCTGTAATCACATATCCTCCACTGTTCGTATGCTGGTAGAAGGTTGGCTTCTTTTCCCATCATGCCTTATGATTTTAGCTGTTAGCTATATGGCTGTACACCACACCACAGGTACCTGAAAATTGTGAAATAACAATGCTCATGAAGAAGGTCCAATTTCAGAAAAATAGTTAAATTTAAATCCTGGGGAAGGGTCGCTTGACCTGAAACATTAGCTCTGATTTCTCTCCACAGATGCTGCCAGGCCTGTTGAACTTTTCCAGCAATTTCTAATTTTGCATCCGATTTACGGCATCCACAGTTCTTTCATTTTTTTTCAGTTAAACTAGAACAAAACACAGAACCCCTATGGTGTGGAAGCAGGCCATACAGCCCATCAGGTCCACACCAACCCTCTGGGTGGGATGCTGTTCAGACCGACCCTGCTACCTTATCCTTGTAACCTTGGATTTCCCATGACTAACCCGCCTAACCTGCATATCCCTGGACACTGGGGCAATCTAGCACTTCCAATACACCTAACCTGCACAACTTTGGACTGTGGGAGGAAATGTGCAAACTCCACACAGGCAGTTGCCTGAACCTGGAATCTAACCCGGGTCCCTGGCGCTGTGAGGTAGCAGTGCTAACCACTGAGCCACTGTGCCACCCCAAATAGAATCCCGACAATGTGGAAAGAAGCCATTCAGCTCACTGAGTCCACATCACCCTCTGAAGGGCATCACACACCCAAAACCCCTCATTTCCCACAACCAATCCAACTAACCTGCACACCCCTGGACACTGGGCTATTTCCCATGACCAATCCACCTAACCTGCACATTGTTGAACTGTGGGAAGAAACCGGAGCATCTGGAGGAAACCCACGTAAACATAGGGAGCATGTGCCCACTCCATATAGAAGTCAGCGGAGGCTAGAATCGAACCAG